TAGAGAGCTGTTGTTTGAAATTGAATCGCTGAAATATTGTTTAAACGTTCAAATTTGTTTGTTAGAGAGCTGTTGTTTGAAATTGAATCGCTGAAATATTGTTTAAACGTTCAAATTTGTTTGTTAGAGAGCTGTTGTTTGAAATTGAATCGCTGAAATATTGTTTAAACGTTCAAATTTGTTTGTTAGAGAGCTGTTGTTTGAAATTGAATCGCTGAAATATTGTTTAAACGTTCAAATTTGTTTGTTAGAGAGCTGTTGTTTGAAATTGAATCGCTGAAATATTGTTTAAACGTTCAAATTTTGTTATTATGTCGACCTAGCGTTCAGAAAGTTACGAGGTAGCTTTAGCTTCATGTTCTTCTGTAGTAGTTTTAGCTCCATGTTCTTCCGTGGTAGTTTTAGCTCCATGTTTTTCTGTGGTAGTATTAGCTCCACGTTTTTCTGTGGTAGTATTAGCTCCATATGCCCTGTGCTAGATGTAGTTCCGTATTTTTCGTACTAGCTTTAGCTCCATGTATTTTCGTGGTAGTTTTAGCTCTATGTATTTCCATAGTAGTTTTAGCTCTATGTTCTTCCGTGGTAGTTTTAGCTCCGCGTTTTTCTGTGCTAGTATTAGCTCCATATGCCCTGTGCTAGATGCAGTTCCGTATTTTCCGTAGTAGCTTTAGCTCCATGTATTTTCGTGGTAGTTTTAGCTCTATGTATTTCCATAGTAGTTTTAGCTCCATGTTCTTCAGTGGTAGTTTTAGCTCCATATGTCCTGTGCTAGATGTAGTTCCGTATTTTCCGCAGTAGCTCTAGCTACGTGTATTTTTGCGGAAGTTTTAGATCCGTGTATTTTTGTAGTAGTTTTAGCTCCGTGTATTTTTGAGGCAGTTTTATATCCACGTATTTCTGTTTTAATTTGCATATCCAGTGTAGAAGTCCTAGCTGAAATTATGTCTGTGTACAGATTTATTCCGTGTTTCTAATACTGGAAGAATTGAATCTTCAGTAACTCGTCGTATTCAATGTATTAAACCATTTTGCAAGTCCATTCACTGTTTTTCCACTACTTTTATTTACTCACTAAACGACCAAGTTTGACTCCTCAACGAATCCTATTGTAAGCTCGAGCGAAACCAATAACATACAGGGAACAGTTTTCACAGATCAATGATAAGATTTGATGCTTGTAGCAACTAAAGTATGTATGGGTCAAATTAAGAAAGAGAGAAAAACAAAACAAACAGTTGATTACTTACTTAAATATTTCTTTTTTGGAAATTCCACAACCTTCAGTAAGTAAATACTATGTACAATTTTGAAAAGGGTCTTGTTTTTAATCGTCTATGGTTGCAAATGAATGGGGATCAAAACAGATATATGGGTTGTTGTTGTTTTTTTTCATCAATAAATCTTCAACCAACTAAACTGTTCATAAAAATACTTAGCGTCTCTACTGGGAGCAGCTTCATGGACGATATATGTATACATACACATCACCAACAAGTGAGAAGTGAGCAAAAGAGCCGAATAAATCTTAGTTCCCAAACAAAATTAAACAATCCATAAAAACCGAAGCTAAGGGGAGGAAAATTAAGCCTCGTGTGCTTTAAAAGCATCGATCTTAGGCTAAGGGTGACACCTTCTCTTCCCGGGGGTCACCATGTAGTTACCTCGTACATTATGTGTTATTGACGCATGCGTATTAGTGATCAGTGCAACAAATGGCTACTACTCGGTCGATAAAAAGGAATTTCAGATCCCATCTAACTGCCATCGTCTTAAGAGACATTTTTGTATTCTACTTTCCTCTGAAGGCAGCAGCTTAGGTTCATGGTTCACTGATTCAAAATTAAACTGTCAGTGAGATTGATGCGTGCTTCTTTTTTAAACAGCGCTAGGTTAACTCCAAATAGTCATGAACCCAGCTAACGTGCTCCATTCCGGCTAACCGATAAAATCAATTCATCCTTAGCGCGTAGGAATGGTTCTTCTGAGTTTATACATGCAAACAAGGTGTCGAGATATGGCAAATCATGAAACACCAGTTCGTCTCTCACGAGCACGTAGGAGTGCAATATTCGCTTCCGTAATGTTCGATAAGCTCAGTAGCTATAGCACAAAACGCTATAAATAAATGCCACTATAGATAGCTTTAAATATGTTTCTGATATTTTAGAACTATTTTTATTTTATTCAGAACTACTTTTAGAGATCAAGAGGATCTTTTGAAGTTCGTGTGTTGTTTTTTTTTTTTGTATAGATAATTACAGGACAGGGAGATAAAAACAAAATTACGT